GGTAGTGGTGACAGGAACTCTGAAAGGGTTGTTCTTATCCGGGTCTCTTACCAAAAATAAAATGAAATGTTGGACCAGGGCCTTAAGCTAAAACAACAGACTGTCCATTTCAAAAATGAATGTGTGGCTATTGTACTGTATAGGCAACCCTTCCTGCCCCAGGGTGCCTCTAGGGTGTTGTAAGGACATAAGAGACCAGGTTGATTCTAGAATTCCCAGTAAGTTATAGGGAAGATAGAGGGGTTCACTGGTTACTCTCACTGCTCTGACAGTGGCTTTGTCATGTGTTGCAAGACTAGTTGAGTAAAGTGGCTGCACTTTTGAATCAGAATGTTACAGAGGAATCAATAACTTTCACCAGCAAATGAATCATTAACTTATAGTAAATAATAGTCGATGTAACAGTTGAGGCAGGTAGGGCTCCTGCAGGTAGTCAACATATTCAAGAAAAAGTTCTCATTTATTATATTAAATCTGATTTCATCCTTAGCCCCAGGACCAACATTTTCTTACTATTTTGTTTACAGTGCAGTTGACTAGATCTCTCTGGAAGAGTTTTGGTATCACAGGTTTAATTTAGGGCATTGATACTCGATGGTGTCAAAAGGATATTGTCAGGTACTTTAGCACCAAAAACAAAAACTCTTTGGAGGTATATGGGGAGGCCAGAAAAACTGGTATGTGCAATGCAGCCTCCATCTCCTTTCTTACTGGAGTCCCAAACCAGATACCAGCAATCTTACTGCAGATGCTGTGTTGCCTGCTTTCTCCATTTTCCTACAGTTACTTATTAAAAACAAATTACATTTCTCTCTATTGTGTGGTAGCTCAGAATAGTCAATGTGCTACGTCTTTCTAAAACCAAATAAAGACTAACCTGAAACATTGAACTCTTTCCTATTTTACCTTGGTATTCTCTGCCCTCTGTTAAGTTCAGTTTCTCCAAGCTAATAACATTGAGATTTTCTCCTCCCAGTGGTTTGAATTTATATCATCTTTGCATAGCTTTCTCAGTACAAGGAGAGAAAAATCTGGATGATTAGGTAGGGTTACCATATGTCCGATTTTCCCGGACATATCCGGCTTTTTGGTCCTCAAATCCCCGTCCAGGAGGAAATTCCAAAAAGCCAGACATGTCCGGGAAAATAGGGTGGGGTTGTGGGGCTTGGGTCCGGGCTGGAGCCACTGGGGCCAGAGCCGGAGCCGCTGGGGCTGGCAGTGCTCGGCCACCGGCTGGTGCCGCTCGGCCAGAGCCGCTTGGCCGGAACCGGGGCCCGAGCTGAGCTGGGCCGGAGCCGCTGGGACCGGGGCTGGGGGTGCTCGGCTGCCGGCCGGGGCCGGGGCCGGGGGTGCTCGGCTGGGGCCGGGGCCGGTGCCCCGGGGCCCAAGCCGAGCTGGAGTCGCTAGGGCCAGGGCGGGCCGGAGCTGCTCGGCCGGGGCCGGCGTGCTCGGCCGGAACTGGGGCCAGTGCCCCAGGGCCCGAGCCGGGCCAGGCCGGAGATGCCGGGACCAGAGCCGCTTGGCCGGGGGGGGGAGGAGGAGGAGGGAGCCGCCGCCACCGCCGCCCCAGCTTACCTGCTGCCTGCCTGTTTCAGGCTTCCCGCGAACATTTGATTCGCGGGAAGCAGGGGAGGGGGAGGAGCAGGGGGAGGAGCGTTCGGGGAGGGGGTGGAGTTGGGGCGGGGACTTTGGGGAAGGGGCGGAGTTGGGGCTGGGGGCGGGGAAGGGGTGGAGTTGGGGCAGGGCCAGGGCCCCGTGGAGTGTCCTCTTTTTGTTTTATTAAAATATGGTAACCCTAGATTAGGGCACTGATTCTACAAACAGTTGTGCAGGTCCTTTACTTTAAGTGTATGAGGAGTTGCATTGAAGCCAATAAGATTTAAATAGGTGTAAATGTTTGCAGGATCAGGGCCTTAACCAGCATACAAGTAGTTTAATTGCAGAAGATAATTGAAGCAAAAGTGTATTTTATGTTCTCTTAAAGCAATTTCAAAATCACATTGACATTATTAATTTACACTACACAATTAAAGAGGTAATGGGTGAGGTAATATCTTGAAAGCTACACAGAGCTTTCAACTCCAAAAGCTTGTCTCTCTCACCAACAGAAGTTGGTCCAATAAAAGATATTACCTCACCCACCTTGTCTCTCTAATATCTTGGGACCAACATGGATACAGCTGCACTGCATACTGCTCAGTTAAATCAGGCCAGTTGTGGACCAATGGACATATCAGGAAAACAAAAAATAAACTGTATGAAACAAGGAGGTTGTGATGGGTTGGATCACAGAAACCCCCTTGGGGCTGCCAACTGATGTGCCAAGACTACTACTACCCTTGCTTTCCCTCTGCCAGCTCAGGACTCCAGCACCCTGTCTTGCTGAGCCAGACACTCCCATCTGCTCCAACACAGACCCAGCGTCTGAACTACTTGCCCCAAAGCTGCAGGTTTACCTGAAAACAGCTCACAGAAGTGTGCTTGTCTTTAACACTCAGATGCCCAACTCCCAATGGGGTCTAAACCCAAATAAATCCGTTTTACTCTGTATAAAGCTTATACAGGATAAACTCATAAATTGTTCGCGCTTTATAACACTGATAGAGAGATGTGCACAGTTGTTTGTTCCTGCAGGTATTAATACATACACTGAGTTAATAAGTAAAAAGTGATTTTATTAAATACAGAAAGTAGGATTTAAGTGGTTCCAAGTAGTAACAGACAGAACAAAGTAAGTTACCAAGCAAAATAAAATAAAATGCGCAAATCTATGTCTAATCAAACTGAATACAGATAATCTCACCCTTAGAGATGCTTCAGTAAGTTTTTTCCTCAGACTGGACACCTTCCAGGCCTGGGCACAATTCTTTCCCCTGGTACAGCTCTTGTTGCAGCTCAGGTGATAGCTAGGGGATTCTTCATGATGGCTCCTCCCTCCCTCTCTGTTCCCTTCCACCCCTTTATATATCTTTTGCATAAGGCAGGAACCCTTTGTCCCTCTGGGTTTCCACCCCCCCTCACTGGAAAAGCACCAGGTTAAAGATGGATTCCAGGTCAGGTGACATGATCACATGTCACTGCAAGACTTCATTACCCACTTGCCAGCACACTCATATACAGGAAGATTCACAGGTAAAACTCTGCAGATAATGGTCCTGGTTAATGGGAATCATCAAGATTTCCAATCACCATTAATGGCTCACACTTTGCATAATTACAATAGGCCCTCAGAGTTATATTTTATATTTCTAGTTTTAGATACAAGAGCGGTACATTTATACAAATAGGATGATCATCACATTCAGTAGATTATAAGCTTTGTAATGATACCTTACAAGACACCTTTTGCATGAAGCATATCCCAATTACATTATATTCACTTATCATATTTTTATAAAACCATAGACTGCACAACATCACAAGGAGGTAATTTTGTACCAGTGTTTTATGTAATAAATTCCTTATTAAAGATGCAGAGACAAATTAATCTCTGGTGTAAATGGCCACAAATCCATTAAAATCAAGCATGTCAGAGATTAATTCAGTCTAGTTTCAAGAGTTTTAGGAGACCCATTTGAGTTGACCTAACTTAAAATTGTTACGATCTCATCAGGAAAAGTATCTGAACAATGGAAATTTGCCAGTTCTATATAATCAGCCACCTATCACTCCATTATCCTGAGAAAACTAACCACACTCTTTGTAGAACCTACCCAAATCACAAATCTTTCTCTGAGCTCTGCAGCAGCAGTAACTAACTGGTATTGCCACAGCTATGCTGGGATCTTCAACTGTTCTCTTGTACAAAATTGATATGAATTGCCATTAATTTCAATAGGAGCAGGATCAGATCTTTAGGGTAAAATCCTGACACCACTGAAGTCAATGGCAGAACTCCCAGCCAGGTCTGCAGTCTTAGGGCACGTCTTCACTACCCGCCGGATCGGGGGGTAGCAATCGGTCTATGGGGGATCGACTTATCGCGTCTAGTGAAGACGCGATAAAATCGATCCCTGATCGCTCTGCCGTCGACTCCGGAAATCCACCGCGGCAAGAGGCGGCAGCGGAGTCGATGGCGGCGCGGCAGCGGTCGACTTGCCGCCGTCCTCACAGCCAGGTAAGTCGACCTAAAATACGCCACTTCAGCTACGCTATTCACGTAGCTGAAGTTGCGTATCTTAGGTCGACCCCCCGCTGTAGTGTAGACCTATCCTTAGGGTCTGTCTTCAGTGGAGCTGGAGGTGTAATTCCAGCTTTGGTAGACATATGGGTGCTAGTTCTGAACAAGCTAGCTTGCTAAGTATAGCTGCTGCAATAGTCACTAAGTAGCCTGAGTAGAATCCCATCTGAAAACCCAGATTACAGGGGAGATGCCTTGCCTTTTGTTTTGTAAAATGCCCAGCATGTAGGGGCTAAGTATTACTAAGGACAGAAAGTTAAAAACCATTACACATGACTGACAGAGTCATTTTCACTGAGCTCCTTATGGACTTCAGCTCACTATTGATATGGTGATTACTTTATTGGAGAGAAAAAAATAAACACTTTTTTTCCTCTGACACTGTTTGACCAAATTGTTTGTTTTATCGGTAACGCTGAATGTAACATGTTGTGTTAAGATCACTTACCTTGTATTGAAGACCTCTGCTGTTTTTCTTTGAAAGTCTGAATTCTTTCCAGCGGGCATTCAGATTTCCTGTCCCTTCTCATTTTCACCTGTCTCGGGGGGATTTCTGTGCTGTTTGGCCAGCCTCGCTCTTCGTACTTCGTTTCACCAGCCACACTAGGATTTTCTGCCTTTTATTTTTGATTGGTTTTCATGTAGTCATGTCACTCAGGATGCCTGCCACCAATTTTGGTGCCTGGATTCTATTCAGGGTCGTTAATTCATTGTTTTAGGGCTTGATGAGGGTACAATAAGTGTTTACAAATCAATGGCCAGCAGCTGCTTTTTAGAACTGCTGAGGATTCTGATGTTAAGTCTTTCTTCTTCTTCCTAGGTATTTGTATAAAGTGTGGAAAGGGCGTATACGGAGCGAGCCAGGCTTGCCAAGCAATGGGTAACCTCTACCATACCAACTGCTTCACCTGCTGCTCTTGTGGTAAGTCAGATCGACAGTGTCTAACATACAGCCTAAGGCCCGATCTTGCAGTCCTTACTGAGGCAAAATTCCCACTCGCGTCAAGGCTGGTGATTAATGACACTGAGCATGCTCCATCTCTAAGCATCCAACTGCACTGTCTTAAGCAAGAGGACATAAATCTAATACTTCATTGACATTAAGTGTAACATTTTCAAAGGGGCTTCAGCCCAGCCTCCATGTTACTCGGTGTACATCAATCGCTTTTAGTGGAGCTTTATGTGCATTATAATTTTTGCACACAAACAATAGAATTGATACAGGCAAAATTCATTTTATGCACATGCAAATGTTTGTGCATTCAAGCATGTACATGCACACATGATAATGCACAAAAATTGCACGTACAAGTTTGAATGTGCAGAAATGGAGACCACATGTTGAAAATTCAGCTCTAAAACTGCTACCGCATTTGGTGGTGGTTGTTTTTTAATTCTTTCCTCCAGAACTTTCCACGCCCCTTCCAAAAGCTTGTAGGATTTCTCTTTGAATCTGCAAGCATGTCAAAGGAATGGTCTCTACACACTGTATGTGATTTTTAGCAAAAAAGCATGGCTTTGCTACTGAGAAACTCGGCTGTTTTCAATTCATGGTGACTCACATTGATGTATTTTAACAAGAAGGATATTCTACTTGGTCTGAAGACATCATAAATGTTAGAAAATAGAGCCAAAGCTCTTAGAAGTGGGTGCCTAAAGTTAGGGAATGAGATCCGTATTTAGGCACTTCAGTGGCCTGTGTTTAAGAAGTGCTAAGCACACACAAATTCCCATTGGTTTCAATAGGACCTGCCAGTCATCAGCTCTGAAAATCAGTTCATTTTGACTGAAGTGCCTCAATATGGATTTAAGTTTGTAATTTATGAAAATGTTAGCCTTGCTGTAAAAGATCTTGTTGAGATACATATACGCAGACAGAAGGCTGAGCATCAGTGGAATATACAGCACGTAAATTGTTTTTAAAAGGGATTAATTAAGGATTAGAAAAAGAGTAAAAGCTCATTGGCATAGAACCAAACAACTTTCTATTGAAAAGACCATTGTAAAGCTCATTTATGAAAGGAGAGCTGTAGGTTTGGGGTTTTTTTTCTCTCTCAGGCGTTGTACAGATAGATATTCATTTTTAAAACAAATATTTATGGAATTTAAGGAACCTTTGGACCATGATCAGGTTCTAAACTAAACTTCCCTAAAATTTAAGGGTAATTTGCTCTCCTGAGTCCATCCAAATATGCCACTGACTGAGCAACAAGTTTGCTGGCTCCCAAAGTGAATGAAATACTTTGGGCAGCCTGCTAAGCAGAGGATGACAAAATACAATATCAGATAATATCTATCCAATCATCACCAAAATTAAATTTAACCTAATTACGTGGAGCAAATTACAGCTCCCTCCGCATGGCAGAACACACATGATAAAAAGGTTTCAGAGTAGCAGCCGTGTTAGTCTGTATCCGCAAAAAGAACAGGAGTACTTGTGGCACCTTAGAGACTAACAAATTTATTAGAGCATAAGCTTTCGTGGGCTACAACCCACAGATTTCTATGTAAACCATTCTATTTTTCAACAGAATGTTTAGAGGCAGGGGAAGGTATTTTATTAACAAAATATAATTCTCGGTTAGTTGTTAAAACGCAGCAGTAACCTTTCAGATTGCCCTCCCAATGTTTATGTGGCCGATGTTCATCTAGCTGAATGCAGTGTAGGACTTGATCTCGCAGAACCCCAAGCAGTGCTAGTGGAATGCCATGATTCACATTATGGCATATGAGTCACTGCATATACACTAGGTAACAATGCACCCATGTTGTCCTGTGAGCTTCAGGGCCGGTGCAACCACTAGGCAAACTAGGCGGTTGCCTAGGGTGCCAAGTGGTTGGGGACGCCAAAAAGCGGCGAGCCCCAGCCATGGAGGAGCCGGCGCGGCGCAGGGTGGACAGCAGCCCTGCAAAGGCGGCGGCGCCACTAGCAGGAAGCAGCCGCGCCCCCCACCCCTCCTGCCCACGCTGCGGCCCGGCGCCCCCACCCCTCCTGCAGGCTGCAGCAGATGCATGCGGGCGGCAGCCCCCGTGTGCCTCCCGATTCCCCCCTCGCCGAGCTCGGGCTCTGCAGCTCCTGGGCATGTGAGCCGCCGCCTGGGCGCAGGACCCTGAGACTGCTCCCAGGAGCCACAGAACCCGAGCGTGGCGAGGGGGGGAACTGGGGGGGGGCACGGGGGCTGCCGCCCGTATGCATCCACTGCAGGAGCCCCCCGGGGGGGGGGGGGGCGCCAGGCTGCAGCCCAGGCAGGCGTGCCCCCCGGTTTCCCCCTCACCACACTCGGGTTCTGCGGCTCCCTGGCGTGTGAGCTGCCGCCACTGCCCCTGCTGGAGGGCTCCGGCAATCTGCGGGGGCACAGAGGCGGCAGACGGCATCCGAGCGCACAGCCGCCTCCTTCCCGGGCTCCAACTTTCCCGACTCCTGCCGCTCTCCGGCCCGTGCGCTCCCAGCCAGGTGCTTCCGCAGCGCAGCAGCAGCCGGAGCTGGGGGGGTGGGGGTGGGGGTGGGAAGTTGCTTCGGGCCCCGCGGTTCAGGGAGCCGGGAAAGTTGGAGCCTGGGGAGGAGGCAGCTGCGCGCTTGGATGCTGCCCACCGCCTCTGTGCCCTGCAGATCGCCAGAGCCCGGCATTGGCTCCTGACCTGGGAGCGGCAGCGGGAGGCGGCACAGGACTAGGAGGGATGCTGCTGTGGACCGTGGCCATCAGGCAGTGTGGGGTTCCTGGGAAATGTTCCTGACCATCGCCGCCTGGCTGGCTTGGCAGCAGGAAACCTTCGCGTGCCGACCTGAACCTGGGAGTTGTAAGTTGCAGCAACTCGGGGTCCCCTTCCTCACATGTTGCACGGGCCAAGCCTCCACAGCTCAAAAAAAAAACCCTGGACTTTCTAGTTGTATTTCCCTGTATGGATTAATCTGGGATTTCTATGAGAAAACAACCTATTTAAAAAGTTACATGATTAAATACTTGATATTTTCATTAACCTAACTTTCAAAAATATGCCCCAACTTTTTTTATGTGCAGTGTTTAAATCAAGAAAACAATTCCAGTTGCAATGATGTATCCTGCTCTTTAAACTGTTCAGAAAGCCACAGCATACAAAGAAATTAATGTAGCTAACATTTTAAAAAGTAATTCAACTGATTATAAAACACAGCCACAAAACTAGAAAAATCATGCCAAGACAGTTGGTTTCACACTTCCCAGATAAGGAAGTGATCAGTAAAGTAAGAAACATATATTATGCATAAGTGGAGTCAATGTCAAATAGAAACAGAAGTTTCAATAAATATTAGTTTAAACTTAAAGACAAACTTTACAATATGAAATCATATGGGAGGGGCCTATTTTATAAAGAACATTTCAAAAAAGCACTTTTCATCAGTTGTTGGAAAGTTGTCAGGTCATTTTTAAGTAGAGATGTCAAAGGTCTGCAAATCTGTTATTGAACTTATTACTATGAACACTTGAAAAGGACCAGGGTGATGGGGTTTAGCTATAGGGACACATGATTTTTATACAATCCCTTGTGCTGTCACATTATTTAAAAGAGACAAAGTGGATGAGGTCTTTTACTGGACCAACTTCTGTTAGTGAGAGGGGCAAGTTTTCGAGCTACACAGAGTTCTTCTTCAGGTCTGAAAAGGTACTAACAGTGTCACAGCTAAACACTAGATCTAACAGATAGTTTAGCACAAGTAGTTAGCACATATTCAAGGGGACCATTCAAGGTGAAGTAGGCCATTAACTCCCTTGTAATCCCAGGACAAAAGGGGAGATTAGTGGGTTGCAAATTGTTCTAATTAACCATAAAGCCAGTATCTTTATGAAGATCATGATTTTTAATGTCTAGCAAGGTTTTGAATTCAAGCTCCCAGGCTCATCTTTTGAAAAATGTGCAGGTTTCCTTTGAGGATGAGGACTAATAGGTCAGATATCGAGTGATTTTGTGGGGGCCCAACTCATGAGTTCTGAATGTTTGAGGTTGGCAATACTGAATATTACATCATGTCACCAAAGAAATTTAAGTCAAGGTTTCTCAAACTTTTTCACAGGCCACACCTTAATACAGCTATTGTTTCATGGGCCAAATCCTCCCTCTCTGTATTAATTCTAATGAACAATGCCACATTATGCAGTATTCATTTTTGAAAGTTTATAATAAGCGATGCTCAGGGAGAGAGGAGGGGGAGGGGGGCGCAAGGTGGAAGTTTCACCTAGGGCACAAAATATCCTTGCACTGGCCCTGG